AGGGCTGTTGGGGGGTAGTGAGGGGTTGGTGGGCGGTTGGGAGGGTGTAGGTCATGGTGTGGAAGGAGGAAGAAGCAAAACAACCGAAGTTCACAAGGTTCTGAAAACTCAGGTTGCACAGAAAAAGGAGCCGAGAAGCAGACGTTCCCTAGAATTTGATACCCCACAAGCGCCCCTCACGCCCTGGCAGACCGCACAGGACCAGTACAGGTATGGACTACAGAAGCACTGCAACCAATTCTCGCAGCCCGGTAGACAAAAGTCGCAGCACATTGTCTCCCACATGCTAGGAACACAGAGGCACTCCGGCACAATCACACAGGCGTTCCCATTCCTGCCCGTCTACAAGTAGGGCATACCATGTCCGGGGGTCGTCCACAACTACAATGTTGACTGTCATCATCATACGTGTGAAAACGAGGGCCTGCATGGGCTGTACCTTAAAAATCCTCGCAAGGCAAAGCATGCCAATCACATGCCAGCCTAATCTCATGTGGGGCATCACAGTGCAGCATTGAGAAAGTTTCTTGGGGTTCCACAGCTGATATTCCCTCTTTATGGGCGGCAATGATGGACACTGATCCAAAGTAAGGGTGTTTTGTGGTCGCAAGACCTGGTCTACAGCTTCCACCCTTGCAGCAATACTCTTCGAGTATGGTGCACTGTAGGTGGGTTCGTGTGAAAGTCTCTTCTCCCCCCCGGCCGCTGTGTCTGTTGCTGATCCGGCAAGGATGGAGTGAGTTCGATTACAATTGTGGACGGAGGATGCCCAACGTTACATCTGGCACATGAACAGAGAGGATTTGATGTCGCCGGTGATGGTATCGGGGACAGTCCACACAGTAGCAATTCATACTCTCCATGAAAGCCTCCTAACATATGGCATGTTGCTGACATGCCAGTGGGAATGCAGGGTCACGTTCGCGGTTATTCAAGCATATTGCACGTCAAGGCCGCAACAGCATATCGAGCAAGTTATAAGGGGGTGGTGGGGATGAGTGCAAGACAACAGGTCAGAGTTTTCATGGCAGAGGCTGGCCGCGATCATGGCTTCATAGCCTTTGGAGAAGAGATTCTGTCATGCACATGCTAGAGCTGAACTGTGCTAGTATGGAGACACAATTGTGTGGTGCAGCTCCCGTACTCTGAAGGGGCCCCCTCACAATCAGCGGCAGAGTCTGTCTGTTTTCCACAGGCAGGCGATGGAGCCTGGCGGGAGGGTCGGCCGAATTGTTCATCATAGCGTTTGAAGCAGAGGTCATGGCATGCACATGCTAACCGACCTGCGCCATATGCAGACACAACTGCACGGTGCAGCTACGGTCCTCTGAAGGACCCCCCCTCACTGTCAGTGGCGGACTCCATCTGATCTGCACAGGCATGGGATGCAGCATCCCATGGCCAGTTTCAGGGGAGGGGAGAGGGTCGACCAGATTGTTTTCCTGGAGGCTGTAGAGTTTTTTAGTTGACATCAACATACTGTTCCTGATTGACAAGCCTGGGAGTGTGCCACTCCGTGATATTACTCAGCGAGTGCCCTGTACAGCCATTATCGCACATGGCCCATGGATTTTCCGCAAACGTAACAGCGTTGAAATGACCCACGCAATGCAGGATGTACGCAAGTGTGCGTTGTAGATGGAGGAGTTTTGCATGACAGAGTCGTTTGGCTGGTTCCCAATGTCATGCCCGGCACACAAACCCTCCCAATACCATTGATGTCTGCTGCAAATTGTGGAGTGTATAACTGTGCTGATCTGAGAGCCTGACAGACTACCAGCAGCCACATACAGGTAGTTCTGCTCATTTTCCTTTTGCCGCACTAACAAACTACGACCAGCCAGACAGTCTGACATCACAACCTCCTTCAGAGGACAACATGGAAGCCTCCTGCAAGTGTTCCACATGACAGATCGTTGGTCGATCAGTACTGTAGCTGAGGCAGAGCACATGGAAGCAATCGTGCAGGTTCGACACAGACAGGAGGAGGACCTCTTTCCCGGATTCAAACAGCAGATCAGACCATGTCAGGCAAGCACGGGACTGACCCTGTGCTGTGGACACCCTGCTGTCCATGTAACGCATGAGGGCTCTTGCTGTAGGGATGCCGTAAGGATGGAGCAAACCAACAACCTTCGCATGACAAAAATGCTGACGCAACGACTGCAGTGCCAACAGACAACAATCGGCATCTTCGATATCTCACACACGAGAAAGGCATCCATCAAACGCAGTAGGTTTTTTCCCGTAACACATTTATGCTCCAATTGTCAAGATGGGATGATTCGACCGAGCAGGCAGAACCGCTAACGAGAGCATGCACAAGGTTGACTTGATCAATCCATACATACGTTGCAATACCACGCTTGTGTTTGCCCACACAAGCTCTGCATGCACATATATACACCCCACAAACTTTCCTTGCCACTCACAGACCTTCTTGCCTCCCCCCCGACCAGCCCCATGCACACACGTATGGCTCTCCGTCAGTTTGGCAAGACTACCGAATGTTTTCCTTCCATTTTCATGTTCTACCAAAACTCTGACGTCGGCGTCAAGTCGTGCCGGCAAACAAAAAAAAGCAAAGTTGAAGGTGATAACTCCAGGCAGACACACACCTCTTGTGCACATCATAACCAATCACCGAAGGGACAACGAAGAACTGCACTGTCAGCTGTGTGTTTGGCATCTCTCTCAAACGCACAGTCTGGGGCAGCAACAGTGCTCAGAATCCAACATCCAGAGTGGCTCGACGAGCCCTCGTACGAAAACAAACATTCTTTCGTAACAATCAAGAGCATCCTCACACTGGGACCCTCTGGAGGTATTTAACCGCAATTATGCCCAGAGATCAGCGTAAAAGGTCCTAGCGTGAACATGCTCATGACCACCGCTAAGCGAGGCAGCAGATATAAGACACGGACGTAGGAAGTTGGCCCACAACCTTGACCAGGTTCACTTCGCGACAATACCTGCCCATGCGCACATTTCAATTTCAACATCTACGTGACGCGAAGTGAGGGCATGCATAATGTGGCAGAACCGTGGGAAACAAACAATCAAAATGATCAAAACTTTACAGCAGCAGCCCCTCAATCACTCCTCTCATCCAACTGCATGAGAGTTCTGGGAACATTCCTTATTTGCCATCTCTATCATTGCGAGCTATGTGCCACTACAGTTTTGGCGCATTTCTCACCCGTCAAGCTACGTTCCACTTGCAATTCAGTCCCTCGTGTGTGTAGGTATTGTGAAGTTATAATTGAACTCTTTCAATTCTCACCTTCCCGGAGCCGAGGACAAAACTTGCACTGAAAAACATAACGCTTCAATTCTCTTTGAAAAACAAGATCATTTGCTGTCAAACATCTGTTTGCTCTTTCAATAATGAATCAACCAACTCAGAGAGCTTTATGCAACCATCCATACACATGCCAACAGCCTCTGCTGTCCTTTCCTGCGACCACTCGCCTTTCATTGTAAAGTGGGTGACCTCGTTCTTACCACTCATTGCTGCCAAATACAGCGCTCCATCCTCCTGCCTCTCCTCCTCTGTTGACGGATCGAGTAGTAGCTCCTTATCAACATAGGAGACACAAGTTGCTGCTACCAGGTCATGCATAGGGACTCGCGCATGTGCAAGTGCCATAGATGCGCATGTCGTCACAACTGCGATGTCTGCGCCTCCCGACTGAAGAATGAGTGCAAACACATCAACAGTCAACCCAGGAAAAGCGTGGACATCAACGGCTCCAATTAATGATCTGTGCAACATCACCCCATACTCGCGGTCGTCCTTCGATTGCCCATATTTGCCTCGCACTGGAGTCGCAAACGTCGCCACCTTCACATCACAAACAAGCCTCCCCACATCCACCGAGGTCCGGTTTGTCTCCCTTGGCCCATACACTCCAACTAAGACCTTGGTGTTGCCAAACTCAGCATACGCTGAGCCGGTCGCCTGAGAGATGGTCCCCGTCTTGAGGAAAGCTGGCCGACATTCTTCTGGCGTCCTCTCATCAATCCTCAGACCTCTTCCATCCAGCACAGGGAGAACGTCGTCTTTACTGAATACAGCAAATGGTGAATAGGACGATAGGATTTTTCCCGCCATAACTCAATCTGCAGAGCAATCCAAGGCTGGGCTGCAAAATATACTCTGCAGGAAGGACCAACAGGCCAGCCTGTCACAAAAGGAATCTGTCTCATATATTCACATCAGAGAGACTGACCTTGTGAAAGACCAAATCACTTTCACCATGCCCAACCCTCACTTGGTGCATATTTTCTACTTTGGCACCTCCACTACCAACCTCCCAGCCCCCACCCCGCCCATTAGCCAAGCAAAAAACAAACCTTTCTGCCATAAAAGGAAGTCATGCTCCTCTCAGTGCAGTCTTCCATGACTGAGCCCAGCTCCAAGACCACATTCACCCCCTGCCCCCCCCCCCTCTGGGTTAGTAACCCTCCGCACTTTCACAGTTTCTAAACGCTTTGCTCCCACACTGTTCCACATTCACGTATCTCAGGCTTGTGGAATAACCAAACAGTGTGAGCAAACGGCATACGTCCCTGTAGCAACAGGCACATCTTTTAATAAACAGGTCGGTGAACTTTCGGAGCACACACCTTCTTTATTGCCAAGTGTCAAGTGAGCAGTAACCCAGCACCTCCGTCACATTAGGTACCTCCGTCGATTGAGCACAGACATCCTGTCCCCATCCTGGTCTCCACACATGTTTTTTCCTGTACTGCTCTTCAGATCCGTTCACCATATGAAAGACTACCGTAGCAACCGCATGGGTGTTCGACAGAAGTGCTTGCTCACTGATCTGTCGTCCACTGCTGAGTCATGAAGCAGCAGCATCTAGTCCAGACTGCTTAGATATGAAGCAGAATCATCAAGTTCTAGACTGCTGAGCCATGAATCAGCAGCATCGAATCTGGCACAATCACTGTAACTCCCAATTCTACCCAGATTTATGCGCAACCACTTCATAAGAAGCCAAGACCGCACCACTCCCTGACCTGTCAATCGACTACTTAAGACTGCTGAAGAAAAAGAAGAAAAAAAGAGAAAAGACTGCTGAGCCACGAAACAGCAGCATCTCATCAAGACTACAGAGCAGAAGTTCCCCGCAACTGCTCACCACACATAGTTGTGAGGAAGGGGAGAGAGGAGAAAGCCCAAACTTTGAGAGAGAGAGAGAGAGAAGAGAGCGAGAAGAGCAAAGCAGGCAGTCACACAGACACAGAGGTTGCCAAACGGACAGATGTCCATATTTTAGGCAGTCACACTGCAATGAACCCAGACCGTGACGACACTTGTCGACAATGTAAGCCCAGAATATCAAGCTGCTGATGATACCAATAATCAAAATCGTGTCCAGAAAGAATGAGATGAGATAATCACACACAGACGAAGGAGAGAGGAGGGATATTAGACAAAGGAAAGGAATAAAAGTACAATGCCCACTCCTGCTTCGGGCTCCCTCCTCAATCGCCACCTCAAGTAATCGATAGTCTGAACGCATATCCGAAGTCCTACTACAATGTGCCACGTGGCACGTCTAATCAGTCTTTCATCAGCGCTGGAGCAATGTCGACATGAAGACAACCAGGTAAGTATCCACGATCTCTCCACAGCCCTGATCTCCTCCTGAGTGACGATGAATCAGAACAGCAGTGCCGGTCACATAGCCCAGCCACGTCAGCCAATAGAACACGTGGCAGCAGCCATGTCAGCAGCAACGCGTGGCAGCTGCCACGTCAGCATGTCTTGAAGACAATAGCTAGGCAGCCACCATGCCGAGCCAGCAGCGCATCGCCGTGATCTCCCAAATGTCAGCACAAAGCCAGCGTCCACCAGCGTCGCAGCGTCGAGCCAGCGTCGCCTTGTCAACGCGTGAAGTCAGCATTGACATAAGACAGAATGAATGTCAAAGCCAGGAAGTCAGCGCTTACGTAGTGTTGACGCCGAATCTGGACCCCGGATGCTGCATCCCTCAACCGTCCAGATCTCGATGCAAACGAGGGCCCAGATTGGTCTGAAATCAAATTCCCTCCGGCCTGGATGCTGTCTGGGTACCTCCGCACAACAAGCGAGTGTATCCAACCAACGGCCTGGGTGCGGTACCTTTGACTCTACAGTTGACTTTGACGCTTGAATTTCCAGTGCGCAGCATTTGGTCACACAGCCAAACGCAGCAGACTCAGGCCTGGGCGGCGTCTTGGTCACACAGCCCAGCACAGACCAACCCAGGTCTGTGTTGCCTAGGGCTAAGTTTTGGGCCCCAGGCTGCCTCTGAAGAGGGGTTACTGCATTCCTGCCGGCCTATTTTTGAGTTCCACCGCAGAAATATTTCAGACTTAACCCTCGTTCATAAGCAGCGACAATATCAGGAGCAGTTTCAAGTAGTTCTCTTTTACAAAACCATTTGTCCTCAGATGGTGCTTGGGACCTGAAACGTACCTTCAACTGCTTCTGAGGTGGTCCATGTCTTCCCCTAGAGAAGTAACCATGTTCTATGATTCTTTCTACCTCGTATTTGCCTTCCATAGATGGCGGAATCATAGATGGTCTGTGTGGAAATTCATTCCCTTCTACATAGGGCAACAGTTTGGACGCGTGAAAAACAAGATATGTTTTGAGGTGAGGGGGTATATCAATACGATAAGACGGTCCCTCTGCATCTCCAATTACTTTGAGAACTTCCCAGGGTCCAAAATAGACAGGCAGAAGTTTCAAGGACACATCTTCTTCTAAGGAAATCTCTTTGGACCTTACCCAGACAAAATCTTGTTCCTTAAACGTGGATGGTCAACGATGTTTATTCGCTTGTTCGATCATTTGGTCCTGAGCTTTCTTTAAATTATTTTTTACCTTCTTTATGTCTTCTTGAAACAAAACTGCATACTCTCGTGTCCCTTGACGTAACCTAAGGAACTGGTCCCGTGTTAGCATCAATGGGACGCCTAGGTTTCCACCCCTTGTGCAGTGCATTTGGTGTACGACCCGTAGCGGTGTGAACACTGTTGTTATATGCACTGGCTATTTTGGGTAATTTTTCATTCCAATCGGGTCTCACATACATGCGCAAGAGCTGCTGGCATAATCGGTTCTCACATACATGCGCAAGAGCTGCTGGCATAATCGGGTCTCACATACATGCGCAAGCGCTGCTGGCATAATCAGTTCATCTGCTCACTTTGTCCATCCATTTTAGGGTGTCGCCCTGACGACATGGTCAAACGTGTACCGTATGCTTCCATCAGCTTTTGCCATGGCATACTTGTGAACCTTGCATCACGATCAGACACAATGGAAAGGGGAAACCCATATTCAGTCACCCATCGCATCTGAAACTTTTGGATCACAAGTTCAGTTCGTGCTTCAGTAGGTAAGGAAATAAACATGGCATATTTAGAGAAACGATCCACAATAACCATTACTTTATCATTGTCGTTATGGCTCTTGGTGAGGCTCATAAAATCAATTGAGATGGACTCACATGGTTCACTCGGAATTGGTAATGGTTTCTCGAAACCAAGTGGATTCTCATGTGAAGGTTTGTTTCTCTGACACACCAGACAGGTACGCACGTAAGTTTAGTACGTCTTCCTTTAATCCCTTCCATTCGAAACGTTCTCTAACCTCTGCACAAGTTTTCTTGAATCCAACATGACCCTCAGAATCGTGACGTTCACCAATTAATAGACTTTTAATCTCTTCCTTGTGAGGAATACACAATCTTTGCTCAGTCTGGTCTAACAAGAAAAGCAAACCATCGGTTACACGGTAGTTGGGAAATAGAGTTAGGTATTTTGCAAGGACATCAATGATAGGCTTCCAAATAGGGTCAGTAGCATATCCTTGCCGAATTCTATCTTTCAAATCACTCCCAACATCCAGGTCAGAGACAATAGTACCAAAGAAGTCACTCCGTCTGGACAATGCATCTGCAACCACATTAGACTTACCTTTGATCGTTTTCAATTCAAAATTGAAGGTATAAGCGCAGACCATCGTACCAGCTTATTAGAAAGCCTAGGCTGTGTCTTTATCCACTTCAAGGTAGAGTGGTCTGAATACACAGTGAAGTGCCTCCTTAACAAGTAGTGCTTCCAGGTGTTCAGTGCGCAGACTAAGGCATACAGTTCTCTTTCATAGGTGGAATTGGCAACCTTTTCCGATGGCCGTCATGCAGACATAAACTCAATGGGTCTATAACCATTGCCATCGTTTCGTTGAAGGACTGCGCCAATCCCGTACTGACTTGCATCAGTAGTGACGATGAAAGGAAGAGACGGATCAACAATTTTCAGAACAGGGTAGTGAGTCAATGCATATTTCGACTTCTTGAAAGCAAACTCACAGTCCTTGTCCCACAACCATATAATTCCTTTCTTTAGCAATCTTCTCATTGGTGCGGCGATCAGTGAGAAGTTCCTAACAAACTTCCTATAGTAACTTGCCAAACCAAGGAAAGATCGTACTTCAGTTACAGACTTTGGTTGTGGCCAATCTCTAATTGTTGAAATCTTCTTCTCTTTTGGCCTTAAACCTTCTTCGTTTACTCTGTGTCCTAGGTATAACACTAGGAACTTAGCAAACTCATAATTTTTTTAGTTGATCTTAAAGTTGCCCTCACGCAACTTCCCTAGCACCAAACGTAGGTGTTTCTCATGATCTTCTACTGTCTTACTATACATTAGAATGTCATCGAGATAAACAATGACGAACTGATCCAAGCACTGACGAAATAACTCATTCATGGACCTTTGGAAGGTCGTTGGGGCATTAGTCAGTCCAAAAGGCATTGCCGCAAACTCGTAGTGGCCATACCTTGTTCGGAATGCAGTCTTGTGTTGATCCCCGAGATCCACCTCGATCTGGTGGTACCCAGACTTCATATCAATCTTACTGAAGAACTTGCAGCCCTACAACTGGTCCAATAAGTCGTCAATACGTGGTAGAGGTTCGACATTCTTAACAGCGACGGCATTCAACCCTCTATAGTCAATACATAGAAGTAATTCTCCTTCTTTTTTAGGCACAAACAAGACAGGAGCACCATAAGGAGAAGAGCTAGGGCGCATCCATCCTTTCTCTGTTAAGTCCTGCAGTTGCTTTTTGAGTTCCTCAAGTTTCCTAGGAGACATTCTGTACCACCTGGTGCTTTCCTTCGACCACATTTGTGATTATCCATAGACCTGCGGCCACATCATCAATTTCTGCCTGCATCCGTTCACCATACTGATCAATTTTCATTTCAAGGTGGGCAAGGTAAGTCGCAAGCTGAGCCAAAGACATTTCCTGTTCTTCCCCTTCGGTCTTGACAACAGTTTGTCTCATTTCTTTAATTTTTTGTTCTTGTTGTTCACTCTTTTTCTTCCTTAATTCTTCTTTCTTTTTCTTCTCTTTCTCCAGTGCTTCTTCTAACTGTCTGATGTTTTCATCCACAGTTTCTTCAGACACAATTATTTTTTCCTCTTCCTTCTGGTCTACAATCTTCCTAAGTTGGTCAATGACATACTCATCAAATGTCTGTCGACACTTGATTAGTACATCCTGAATTTGTATGATGTTGGTGCCTAGTTTAGCTTGTTCTACAGCAGCTCGTGTTGCCTTCAAATCAAACTTTTCTCGCACATATGCCTAGACTCTGACACCTGCACCACGAAGATCAGAAATCAATTGGTCTAAGCGGGCATTCAAAACCTTCTTCCGCTCTTCCACTTGATGTTTGGTTCGAAGGTTAGGGGTCTCCTCATCAATATCGAAGATGAGTGAGACTGGATAGAAGCGAAAGGGAATAAAACGAGTAAGCACTGACAATTTCAGGGAATTCCAAAGAAAAGACATTGTGGCTTGCGTCTGCCGCACAATAAATAATCAATAAACAATCCACTTTGAGAAAGCCAACGGTCAACCCCAACATGGGAATCTAGGCCTAGAAGTCAAAGTCAACCCTCTTGTCAGCCACGGCCGTAGATCAGATGCACATCATCGAAGGTCTGCAGCTATCGCGGGCCTCCGGTGGGCCTTCGACCTTTTAGGAGGCCGAAACGATACGAGGGACAAATGAATGTGCTTGTAGCTCAATTGGATAGAGCACCAAACAACGGATTTGGGCGTTGAGAGTTTGGTGCGCTTGCCGTGAGATGAGTGGCTGAAGGAAAGAATATCAAATAAAATAAAATAAAATGAGCGTGGCTCCCCAGTAGAGCAGAGTGGGCCTAAGTAGATTTGAACTACTGACTGTACACTTATCACGCATATACTCTAAACAACCGAGTGCTTGATGGGGATTGTTGATGAGAGTTATCAATGGCAGCCGTTATCAAGCCCGTGCTCCAATTTCATAGGAGTTTGGGAAAACTGCCAGTTCAAACAATTTTCCCAACACCGGCGGAGGTACTAGTGCCTTAACGTCATTCAAAGTCATTAAACAATGCTCTGCATGTATAGCTACAAACTTTAATTACGTTGAACAAACAAGTAAAAGTTGCATACTTCCGATCATTATGTTCTCTCCCAGGTCTCCCTTTCTTTCCCTTCATTCAATTTGCTACTCAGCAAAATCGTTTCTATATACAAATATTTGAGTGCAGGTGGGACGACGCACTTTTTGTTTCTTTCAGAGTTGTTCCTGGCATCTTCTAGCGCACTGGCGATCATTATGTTCTCTTCCTTTCTTTCCCTTTGTTGATTTGCTACTCAGCAAAATCGCTCTTTTGTACAGATATTTGAGTGCAGTTGGGGCGACACACTCTTTGTTTCTTTCAGGGCGGTTCTTGGCATCTTCTTTTATAACTATCTATATAACGGCAAGGTGTTCTCCCTTATTTGAATACGCACCCAGGCTTTAATTGTGATTACCTACGTAGCACCTTTGTCGCGTTCGGAGGCGAACACAAACATGTTTGCCCGAACGCGAGCACGCGCCCAAAAACCTCCGAACATAAAAAAATATTTACAAAAAAAAAAAAACGTTTCTCAAAAAAAATTGGAAAAGATATATGTTATGTAGAATAACAATACAAGCAACTTTTGCCTTGGAGTCATGTTCAAATTCGTAGCCAATCATGAGATAAAAATCAAAAACCGAAATTGTTCTTTTTTTTTCACGGAAAAAAAAAATTATGTTCGCGAGCTGTTCGCGCGAATGTGAAGGGGCGCGAACACGCTCACCGTGATATGCAGGTGATTACTTTTGTAGGAGCTATGACATTCTTTCTTGCAGCAACTACAAGAATTTTACAAAACGATTTAAAGGGTTATTGCTCATTCTACTTGTAGCCAATTAGGTTATATGGTATTCGCTTGTGGTATCTCCAATTATTTTTTGAGTGCATTTCATTTGATGAACCATGCTCTTTTTAAAGCATCACTTTTTTTGAGTGCAGGGTTTGTGATTCATGCAATGTCTGATAAACAAGATATGCGCAAAATGGGAGGATTAACTTCTTTGCTATCTTTTACTTATGCTTTTTTTTTTTTTTTACCGAATAGGCCTTGTGTAAAACCCTCTATCCCGGCGGTGGTAAGAGAACCGTCAGGATTTAGGGTTTCTCTGTCGGGCTGCTCCATCTATTGGTGGGGAGCCGCACCTGCTGGAAACCGGGTCCAGCGTCCCTTTGATACATCTTATAACACAGAATTTGTTGGTTGTTGTTTTCATGGGGCTGTAGGCTTTTATTACTTGGACCCGAGTCTCCAATGTCCCTTGGTGTTGCTAATGACACCCTACCCTTCTAAGAGCACCCCTTATTTACTAGCCCAGCCCAATTCAGCAGCCCCCTGTGATATCTCTGACCCATTTGAACCCTTAAACCCTATACCCTCTTGATCCACATGCTCCTGACGCCCTGATCCTTTAAACCTGGAGTGCAGGTTGCAGGGCTCACCTTCCAAAGATAAGACTAGGTAGGTAGATCTCCTGTTGTAGCCTAAAATTATTAGCCTGCTCGATAGCGTAAGGTAAGTGACTACGAGCTCAAGTCTCATGAGACGCCTTTTATAGCTAGAAGCCGACATAGGTGGGACTTTCGAGAGAGTCCAATACCAAAATCCGCCCCTTATCTCGTGGGGCCTCACATTACAGCCCAGGATTGAACTCGACATACTTATGCATTGTCACACCCTTTCAGTCATGAGTAGTTACCCGGTGCTGCGCTCTATACCTGTGCAGTGTAGTGGGCTTCATTCGCTGCAGTGAAGTGGCCAGCATCCGCAATCTTTCCCTCTTGGGTTCTGACCTGGAACGGTGAGCCCCCTGTCCATTTCCACGAACCCAATCTTTTCTACCTGCCAATGAGCATCCTCAGCTAACCTTGTGGAAGGGTCTGTACCGGAACACTGCCTGTAGAACTCGCGTTGTCCTCCCATGAATGGTGTATCTCGCCCTCTTGACTTGTAGGAGCTAAACCGGCACACCCCAGAGTGGTTATGGCTCAGGGTCATAAGGGCACACTCCAACCCTGTCTTTTGTTGTCCCATGCCCCTGTTTTGCGCAGTAGCAGCTTTGTCTTCCCCTGTCCCTTGCAGCTCATCACGCTACAATGTAGTTCTCCCGGGCCCTGTACCAGGGGACGCATCATTGCCTTGTCAGAGGTTTACATCTTCAGAGTATGCTACGATTCACATTCAATCTCACTAAGATTGGATCGACTTTTTGTGCTATTAGTTGTTTGTTTTTTTTGTTTTGATTTTTGTTTTTGAAATTTTACGCGTAGAAGCAAATTCTCCAAATTTATGACCAACCATATCTTCAATAACTTGTAAACCAACAAAATATTTTTCGTTATAAGCTTGACCGAAGGTAAATGTTGTCAAAGGCTCACAAAGGAGTCCACTATAACATAATGCCAAAAATCTAAGATCAATTTCTAACAAGTTGCTTATATAGTTTAGATGGTTGCACACAAAGAATAAAGAAATCTCATCTAGACCTATATAAAAATTGATATTTGAGTATTGTTTCAACAAATTGGTATTTAGTTGTAAAATTCTCAAATTGTATTCAAAACAACACAGTATAAAAAGGTGATCAAAGATATTTATATGGTGTAGACAAATAGTTGAAAAACAAAAACACAATTCTAAGCTAAGACATTGAGGTCGTTGGTCGGTCGTGTAATCTCATTGGAGTATAGCCAAATGGAAAGGCATCGTTTTTTTATACCGACATCCAAAGGTTTGAATCCTTTTACTCCAACATTTCATTCCAATTCAGTTTTTTGTTTTGAAACGAGTAAACCATATTTATGACCATCGTAGGTCTTTGGAACTTTGAAACGAGTTTTTTGTTTTGAAACGAGTTAACCATTTTTATGACCATCATATGTTACAAATTTGTGCTACATCCGCTTCGCATATGATTTTGTAGTAGCAATCTTTGGTCCACGATCATAAGCCGTGAAACTGAGATCTGAATTGGAATCGCTCCTTAGAGACAAACTCCAATTAACATTAAATATGGACAAAACCCGTATTACCCATGTGTCAAAAGGAGTACCTACAAAAAAAAGTTTCTGTTTTACGTCCTGGAATATAGGAGCCTCTATTCTATCAAGTCTGATCAACACTTTTTCATAACCCAGGGACCAAATCCTCAAGTGTCTATATCTAATCTATCAGAACAATTAGTTATAACTTCTCTCCATCCAATAGATATTGGTGGAAGATTGTCGGGAGTAGGATTCGAACCTACAACATTCAAATTGTGAGCCTAATACCAGACATCACAAAGGGTCCTATGGACAACACAAATTTCATTGATCATTCACACGACGTCCCTTCAGGTTGCACTTGCCTTATGTAATCTGACGAAATTAATTATAAAAATAAATCGTTTGTATACGTGATCCTATGGGCGCTCTAGCATTTTCTTTTATTTACTTCGGTCTATCACTCAACTCACTCACTCGAAGACTGAGTTTAGACCCTCTGGGTACATAGTTCACCATTGCCCAGTCAGACCCCGAACAAGATTTGAATGTTGGGATGTTCAACAAGGACCGTTGCTAATGTTAGACAACCCCCCGCCCCCCCCCCTCTAGTGGGGTCAGTCATGCAACATATACGTGTCCTTGAAACGCCCTCACCAGAGGACTCGAGCTTTTGTCAAACCATAGCTAGGGGTACTCCCATCTTTCGTCCAAATTGGATCCTACTCAGTGGGAATGGACAGTAAAAGGGACCAGGGGGACCAATGCTACTCTTGCGGATTACTCAATTAAAGTTGGTTATGCCGTAAATTGCCCTCTGAAATAGCCACAAGTAGTGGCTCGCAAAAGATGGATGCAACTCCTACACATTGATTCGGAAGAGATCGATAGAGCATTGTCTGTATGCTGGAAATAACTCAAATTAATCCCAAGTCAAAGGCATGCTTCGTTACTATGGCTGGTATCACTCGTTTCAACCCCATCAGCGGCGTGGTTAGCAGAAAGAGGAATGGAGATAAACCTCACTTGCATACGGTGCCAATGGGCTTTTGAGTCCACAGTACACTTATGGTGGGATTGTCCTGCTTCAGCTCGGATTCTCCAGCAGCGTTTTTCCATGGACTAAAGAATGGTCTCTTTCAGGTGGCCTTCTAGTGAACGTCCCAATCTCCAAAGGCTGGGTCTATGTGGCCCAGTCTGCTCGAGCAGTGTGTTTCGCTGTAATTTGTCAGGGCAGGAATGACCGGATCGTTGATAACAAGACTGGTCCAACAAACAAATTCGCCAGTCTTTCAAGCTCCACCTCAGACGTGCCATTCAAGCGGATTGGAGACGGAAGGTAACATTTGTACAGAACTCTGAGGCAGGGATTCAGTGGTTCAAACAGACCTGGGCCATAAATGGCAACTTTGTAGGGTAGAAGAAGGCAACCAATTGTGCTTGGACTCCTGGCTGTTTCAAGATTGAGCCAGTAACAACAGATACCCTCCTCGCTTCTCCTCCCCCCCCCCTCTTCTCTGTTGGGGTGGTGGTGAAATGTTAGTATGATTGGAACAACCAGCTCACTCAGTTGCTGTTTCGGTTGCAGGAAACAGGCAGAGGGAAGACGTGGTGGGAGTGAGAACTGGTGGTAGGGACCTACTCCCATTGCTCGTGTTAGGGGAAAAAAAGTTGGAACGTAGTAGTTAAGCTTGGATATTGAACATGTCTAGACATGGTCTATTGGTTTGTTGGTTTAATTGGGGTTAATGTAGGGCAAATGTTGGTTTATAGGTTGTAGCTTGCTTCAGCTCCGTTTCAGGAGTGCTAGAGACTTTTGGTTTGTTTGGAGTTGCAGGCGATGTTGGCATTGATTGTTTTTCTGATTTCTTTGATATGGCTCTTGAAATTTTGGGATTGTGAGGCTTTGTAGGCCATGTTGGCAGGTTTTGTTTTTTTCTTCTTCCAGGGTTGGGAAGATAACAGGACAGTGGTCTGGATTTGGCCATTTCTGTCCCAGGATAGTTTCTCCCAACGCTTGAACCTAAGCTGGGTAATGGTCCCATAATTTCCTTCTTCTATTCCGGGTTGTTTGTTGAGGAATTCCTGGTCTCATTTTTGGTTTAATAAAGTGATTTTCTTGTATAAAAAAAAAGAACAGTGGCACCCGACCTTGAAGCACCGACTGAGCCTTCCCTTGGTCGACCCCCTGGGAAGTCGCCTCGTTAACAGGGAAGGCCCACGACCAATTTATGGGCCAAGTACTAGTGGTTTAAAGTCGTGCCAAGATCAACTGTCCCAAGTGCCCCGGAAAAAAAAACGTACGAAATCATGGGCCCGCCCGCCCCCAAAAACCAGCCATACGAAACGGGGCACTACGCGTGTCTCATCCAACCGATGTGTGGGCCTCATTTTCCTTGCGCCCAGGGAAGCGTCTTAGGGGCCCTATCCTTCCTTTAATAGTTATATATATATATATATATAATGAAACTCCGACGAAACAGTTTGTCACAGCCCCTCGTTTGTTGTCCTCTTCTCTCTCTGCCTACGGTTTACCGGGCAGTTCTGTTTGTGACGATATATATATGTATATATATAGATATGTATATACATGTCGCTAACATGCCGGGGCAATGCCATGGCAGGCGAAGTGCAAGCATGTGACCCTGCAGCACCACCGACCCTCCAAAAGCAAAAAAAGCCCCGAAAACATAAAAAAAAGAACAGCCCATAAATGCCCCGAACATATGGAGAAAAAAGGAAAAAAAGAAAAAACAGCCACGGGGAAGCAAGGGAGTACCAACTTTAGGACATTTTCTACAAAGGCCAGGCCGTGATTGCATTCAGATGCATTGAACTATTGCGTAGTACCAATGAGACAGATTCAAAAACGAGTCGACTGTCCCGAGTCGCCGCAAGTGCCAACATACGTCGCTTAACGATAGTCAGTGTTTGAGTGTGGCTTGAGAGAGAGAGAGAGAGAGAGAGAGAGAGAGAGAGCGGAAGTCCTAGTGTGAGTATGCCTCAAAAGGTCCCAGCGTCAGCATGGCCGTAACTGCGGTCAAATACATTGAAAAGAAATCCTTGTGTGAGCATGGACAAGGAGCTGGAGAGAAAGAGAGAGAGAGAGAGAGAGAGAGAGAGAGAGAGAGTTTTCCAGTCAAAATGGGAATGAATCTGCCGTTAGAACATGGAAATATACACTGCTATATTTTGAGTCTTTGGCAGTGTATATTTTCACGTTTTAGTGGAAGATTCAATCAAATTTGCTAATTTGGTGAAGCGTGCGAATGTCGTAGAGTGTGTGTGTGTATGTGTGTGTGTGTGTGTGTGTGCGCGCGCGTGCACGTGTGTGCGTGCATGAGTGCGTGTGTCTGCTGGTGTGTGCGTGCGCGTGCCCGCGTGTGTGCGTGTGTGTGTGTGTGTGTGTGTGTGCGTGAGAGAGAGAGAGAGAGAGAGAGAGAGAGAGAGAGAGAGAGAGAGAGAGAGAGTTTTCCAGCCATGCATGCACCGGCCAGCAGCTAACTCTCCAACCTCGCGGCGGG